GTCCGTATCGGTATCGGCTAAGGCTGGTGGAAAAAAAATCGGTATCGGCATCGGCCCTAAAAAATCCGTATCGGTCTATCACTACATAAAACTGAAAAGAGACACCCAATAAAGTAGTTTCTGAACTGTGGGAGGGGCTTAAACTGGAAGTTGGTGGTAAATTAAAGCCAGAAATTGATTTGGGTTTAATAAAAGTTAATATATTTATTATTAAACCCTGAGAATTGAGCTTCAGAGCACTCGTTTGATACTTAAAAAGATCATTATCTGTTCCGGATACTTGTTTCAGCCGAGTACTCGTTCACCCCTACAAGTTACTGCTAATGGCTGCTAAAAAGCTGTATAAAGATGTATAACTTCATTACCCAGGAACATGAAAGGTGCTCTATTATATTTATTATATATATTATTGGTGGCTCTGTGACGATGTGTAATGAAGCCAGGTGTTTGCTAACATACATGCACATAAAGCTAAAAATGGTGTTATAAAGTTGGTATAGAAGTGTTGGCGCATCCAGCCGACACAGAGCAACATTAGCATTCATTCATGTTCCTGGCCACCTGATAAAGTCCAGTATTCACTCTTTTAGCTCCGCTCTGTTCTCCACCAACTACTGACAAAAAAGCAACTGTCTCTCCAGCTGCTAAATGCTCCAGATGTTCACCAGCTCCTTGCTAAACATGTTCCCCAATGTCTACTTACTCTAGTTTCACAGAGAAGAGCGACAGTTTGTGACAGTAAGTTGTGGGATGTAAAACCAAAACAATGAGCTGAGGGGAACTTTACAGTTGGGGGATAATTGTTTGTGGTTTTTGTTTCTGTGACCAACCTCTTTTTAACATTTCACATTTTATTTGGTGCCTTTGCAAAAGGATCAATGGGAGGGAAAGCCAGTAGATCCTTAAACTTGAACATACTAGAAACTGTTTTTAACTGGTTATGTAACAGTCACAGTTCAATACCGGTGCCTCTTTATTACCTACATAAAGAAACAAGACCATCACTGAGAAGATTGGATATTTCTATATATTAGTTTTCTTAACATATGACTGCAACTGGGTCAGATGTTGTCAGATTTCCCTTGAAATTTGTTAAACAAGGTGGTGGAAACACAACCGCTTTGACAACAGGGGTCGCCAGAATCAACAAAAAATTCCTTTTAGCCGTTTTAATTAAAAGTACTAATACCACACTGTGAAAATACTCCACTACAAGTAAAAGTCCTGTGTTCAAAACCTTACTTTAGTAAAGTATGTAAGTATTATCAGCTAAAATTACTTCAAAAACGAAAGTAAGAGAAGTAAAAGTACTCATTGTGCAGTAAAATGGTCCCTGTCAGTGTTTTACTATTATATGTGATGTTTTTGGATTAATATGACTGTCTGGGTATAATCTACAGCAATAAAGCAAGAGTTTTTAACCTGTTTATGTAGCTTAAGAAGTAGGAGAATTTTCTTAGACAGGAAGGGTATAAAAACTGTAATCTTAAAAGTAACTAAAGCTGTCAGATAAATGTAATGGAGTA